TAACGCAGTTACACATGCCCATAGAAATCAAAGGGATTGTGGGAATTTGCACTTTTGGCTACCCTGGATCAGTGGTGAGATTCAATTTTTTTTACTACCGGTTATGTGGGCGTGGCATGGGCTTAGTGGGTGTGGCTTGGTGGGTGTGGCAAGCGAAGGATACTGTAAAATCTCCATTCCCACCTCACTTCAGAGGAAGGATACTCCAAAATCCCCATTTCCTCCCGATCAGCTGGGACTCGGGAGGCAGAGAATAGATGTGGGTGGGGCCAGTCAGAGGTGGTATTTACTGGTTCTCTGAACTATTCAAAATTTCCGCTACCAGTTCTCCAGAACTGGTCAGAACCTGCTGAATGCCACCTCTGCCCTGCATTAAAATCAGAACTATGAGAAAGGATTGTGGCAAAGAATAACAACTATACAGGTAGTCCTCAACTTACAACAGTTTGTTTAGTGACCATTCAAAATTCCAACAGCACTGAAAAATGTCCATCTGGCCCTCATCTGCCACATTTCCAAAACACCCTTTATTGTTTCAGTTTTGTTTTCATAGTTGCCATCTTTGCAGCATCCCCATAATCATGTGATCAAAATTCAGATGCTTGGCAACTGGTTCATATTTATGACCGTTGCTGTCTCACAAGGTCATGTGAGCAAAAGCAAAGTCTCACAAAAGCAAAGTCAATGGGGAAGCCAGGTTCACTTAACAACTGGGTTACTCACTTAACAACTGCAGAGATTCACTATACCACTGTGGCAAGAAAAGTTGTAAATGGGGCAAAAGCAGTGGTGGGATTCAGCCAGTTCGCACCATTTCGGGAGAACTGGTTGTTAATTTTCTGAGCAGTTTGGCAAACTGGTTGTTGGAAGAAATCATTAGGGCAGAGAACCTGTTGTTAAATTACTTGAATCCCACCATTGGGCAAAAATCACTTAACAAATGTCTTACTTAACAGCAGAAATTTTGGGCTCAATCATGGTCGTAAATTGAGGACTATCTGCATTGTTATTTAGAGGAATCTGTGCTTGTTTATTCCACTTTCAACCCCATATTTTGAGTCGGGGTAACCACTCCTGAGAGTCCCATGGCCCAGGCTAAAGGAAATTATCTACCGGGAAGAGATTCAGCTCAGGAATTCAAAGATAGCTGAAGGATCCAAGCACTTAATTTAAGCAGAGGACCTGTATTTTATAGCTACCCCACCTGTTTCATAAATGGTGGTAAACAACACTTGAAGCAGTCTAGTTTGTCATGTCAACTAAATTCTTTGGCCGCCAAAGGGAGAAAAACCTCATAATCTTGGCAATAAAAATAATACAATAATAATAATATATTAATAATTATGAATGTGCTGCTTTTTTATGGAACCAAAAATTGGAAGGCTGGGTGTGCCCTCCTCGCTCCATCCTATTTCTCCATTGCTCTCTTTTCCAAACAGAACTGACTTGTAGGGCTATATAAATCCTTCAGAAGGAATGCTTTGCAAAGTATGGGAGCATATAAAAAAGCACCTCTCTTTAAATCAACGAAGAAGCTACTGCTTTTTCTAAGCTGACGTAGCTGTTTTATAAGCCATTCGTGGTTGCCTCCACACGCTTGCACAGCTACTGGGAAAAAAAGAAAACTGATCAGAGACTGTTAGGCCATTTCTATTAGCAAGATATAGACATGTATGCACAGTGCATATATTTCTTGATTTATGCTTGTTTTGTACTTTTCAAAAAAGAGCAACTTGAAATTAGTAAAAGTCACAAATCTCAGGACTTATAAAAATAAGCATAGCTGAATAATAAAATAATAATTGAAATAATAGCTAACAATAGCACACACCGACATATAGACACAGACACACATATTTTACTGTTATCTTTGTTTACAGCTTGTCTGTCTTTCAAACAGTAATCTGAGGCAACTAGCGATCATTTAGTGAAAGTGATGTTACACTGATGCTACATAGACAATCAGATTTGATTACATCCTTATAGCTAACTGAGAACAAGTACATTTAATTAAGGTAGAAACTTGATGTTACAAAAAGCTCTGATCTTCTGGTTTAACAACAACAACAACAACAAAAGCCAAAATCTCCCAGTTATAATAAAGAAAGAGAGATGCTTAAATTCCTCCCTTTGATTATTTTTCGACTCTTTTCTATTCATAAGAGGAAAAAAGAATATTCCTTGTAATTTTTTTTTACTCTGCAGACTCATTTCTGAGGAGGAGGAGAATAAGTGGAGGGGGACATTAGTTGAAGGGTATCTCTTCTTAGGCTGATGATCTATTCTACATCTTGCCCATCAAATTTTACTTTTTTAGATTCTTTTGCTCTGAAGCAAAACATATGAGAAGCTAACTTGCTGCAAAGCAAAGCATCACTTCTGGCATAACTTGCATTTCCAGGAATGTCTTTGGGCCCTACAATTACCTCAGAGTTAGGGGTACACAGCAGTGGTGGATTTCAATTTTTTTTTACTACTGGTTCTGTGGATGTGGCTTGGTGGGCGTGGCATGGCTTGTTGGGCTTGGCAGGGGAAGGATACTGTAAAATCTCCATTCCCACCCCACTCCAGGGGAAGGTTACTGCAAAATCCCCATTTCCTCCCGATCAGTTGGGATTTGGGAGGCAGAGAATAGATTGGGGGGGGGGGGGCGGCAGTTAGAATTTTTACTACCAGTTCTCCAAACTACTCAAATTTCCGCTACCGTTTCTCAGAACCTGCTGAAACCCACCTCTGTTCTTAAAGCTGACAAGGACCTGATTAGCCTATGGGCTGTTTTTAGTCTCTTCCCTATAATTACGTATTCGAGGGTGTCTGCAGGTTGTGAGGAAAAACTCAAGATGGCAGCCAGGATGCTATGATCAAAACTTCACCTGTTTTGATCACAGGTCTACGCAAACTACTCAAAATTTTCGCTACCGGTTCTCCCGAACTGGTCAGAACCTGCTGAAACCCACCTCTGGTCCACAGGATTGGAATCTGAAACAGCAGATGATGCAGATCTGGTTGAAGGCACTCTTTATGTACCCATCAACTGCCTAAGAAAGGATGCAGTACCCCTGCCCAATACAGGTCAGAACACTACATACCTCTATTCAGAGCCCTTCTTAGAAGATAACATAGTGGATGGCTGGAGCCCAGGATAGTGGCTTCTGTCAGCCAGGTGTGTTATTCCCGGATGCTCCCAGCAAAACAACGCCTTTGAAAGAATGACCCTACATGTTCTCGATATTCCAGACGTGCCTGGTAGCTGGAAAATAAGTTGTAAACTCTGAAAGGACATGCAGATATTTTTTTTGCCTTTGCAATAGGTCTCATCACAACTGTCAAAATGAAAGATGCCTTTTAATTGGAATAAAACTATTCCCAAATAGACCTGCACCATGTGTAAATAAATGGCGTTCTCTGTTATGTTTCCCTTTTGAATGGAAAGAGACCAATTTGCCCAAGGTTACCCATGCAAATTCTGGATCACGTTAGGGTTTAAAATGCGTAATAAATAATAAAATATAAGAGGAGTTTTATGGCTCAGTGGTTCAGGATGCTGAGCTTATTATCTGGAGAGCTGACAGCCCAGGTTCCAGACCTGAGCACCGCATGACAGGGTGAACTCCCATTCTTGCCCCAGGTCCTGCCCACCTAGCAGTTTGAAAGCATGTAAATGTGAGTAGACAAATAGGTACCACTTCAGTGGGAAGGTTACAGCATACCATGCACCTTTTGCATATTGCCATGCTGGCCAGATTACCTCAGAAAATGTCTTTGGACAATGCTGACTCCTTTGGCCAAGAAATGGAGATGAGCACCATGCCCTAGAGCGGGGGTCTGCAACCTTAAACACTCAAAGAGCCGTTTGGACCCGTTTCCCACAGAAAAAACAATACCAGGAGCCACAAAACCTGGGTGGGCATGGGCAACTCCACGTCACTCACTCCCACCCAGTCACATGACTCCCCTAGCTACGCCTACCAAGCCAGTCATTAGGGCAGAGAACCAGTTGTTAAAAAACACCGGGAACCACAAAACCCTTTTTTTCCTCTCTTTCTCTCTCTCCCCACCCCCATATCTCTCTATGTCTCTCTCCCCAACCCCTGTATCTCTGTCTTCCCCTCCCTCTATATCTCTCTCTCTCCCACTCTCCCCTCTCTCTCTGTATCTCTCGGATTTACAAGGCCAGGCGAGCAGTGACTGGGAGGGGAGGGCGAGGTGGGGCCAGCCAGTGATGGGATAGGGAGCCGCAGCATAGGGCCCAAAGAGCCACATGCGGCTCCGGAGCCATGGGTTGCTGACACCTGTCCTAGAGACAAACATGACTGACAGGAAAACCTTTACCTTTTACCTTCTAGTACGTGTGTTGTTCATGTATTTATATTCACTGAGCAGACTATATTGACTCTATTAGTTCTTTTGTCCCAGAAGACTTATTTTGAATAACCAAATTGGCCCATCTCCCTAGTTTGTCCGTTTGCTTGCCCACAAACTGCAGTGTGGTCCAACCAAGATTTATGGAAATGATGATATTTCCTTTTCAACTTGCTTTCTCCTTACAAGTGGCATGAAGGAAAGCATCATGATTACCATTGTTCTTATCAAAGAAAGACATTAGAAAGAAAGGAAGGGGAAGAATTGTTTCAACACAATTGATGGCAGAAATAAAATTAAACATCATAGCCAAGTGGCTCACAATTGAAATCCCATTGTTCAGTGCTATTATTGAAGGAGAGTTTTGTTTTTTTGGCTCATTGGTTCAATATCAAAACAGCAAAAAAAACCCTCCAACCCAATCTATTTTTTTTCCTCCAGCTTCTGTATTTTTATTTGTGTGTGCAGATGTGTGCTGCTGAGGTCAGGCACAATAATTCTTTCATCTCTGGAGAAAGATTCTCAACGTGTCTCTTGCCTTTTTTTTCCCTCCCAAACTGCTGAGCCATCAGATCTCAAAGGTAACTCGGAGCAGAGAAAGGAATCCATAAAAGAATAGGAAATTCAAACAATTCCATTTTGCCTGATATTTATTGCACTCCATATTGAGGGGGGGTGGGGTTGAAGAGAAGGCGGGGGAGGTTTGCGTGTGTTTGCTTATTTTTCCATTCAGCCATTTCAAAGTTGAACTGTAACAGTTGCTCTTGAAAATATTTCCTTTCCAAGAAACAAAAGAATCAACCTGGCTTCCCACCTGTAATTAGCAAAAAAGGAGGAAGTGACTAGGCTAAACTGAAGCAGATCATAATTATAATAATTAACAATGGAGGTTGTGAGTAGCACCTAGGAATTAATGCCTGTGGTGGGATTTTTTTTTTTAGCAACTACGTAACTGATTTGGTTCTTTCTCATTACTACCACCCCCTCCTGTGTCCGAGCATCTTCTGAGGGTACATTAAGCAACACAACTAACATCTGTCATGTGTGATCTGCAGCCTTGTTATGAGAGGGCCAGCCGATTTGGGCAGTGGGCCACAAGTCAGGAAGATCTGGGCTCGGCTCCAAGATCTGCCATTGGCGTGCAGAGCACATGACCTCAAGCTGGATTTCCAAGGACATTAAAAAGTTTCAAAGGCCTGTTCTGAACTGCCCAGCATCTGACAATCTGCTTTTATTCTTCTCAAAAAATCCAAGTATAACAGAGGGGCGGGCCTGAAGGGACTATGTATGCCAGGCAGCCTTTTCAGTGCCTAAACAGTGTCCATCTTCTCCATTATTGTCTCTCTCACAGTCCACCTCCATTGGAGCGTATTAGGCTGCCAGACTGTAGAGAAAACAGTCCTGCCTTTCAAACCCTTGCAATACATTCTCCTGGGAACAAATATTCCATCTAAGCACATTCAACGCCAGGCATTTCTTAGCAAGATCCGCTTTTATTCATTTGCTGCCATTTTCCCCATTTCTGATTCAAGGGGAAAGTGCAGCAAAATGTGGCCACCTGTAAGGCACCCATTCACGATGCCAGATGGCTAGTCAGCGCCTTTGCTAGACTGTCCAATTCTCCTCAATCCACTCCTTCACTCAAAAATAAAAATGGCAACTTATAATGGTACCTTCTCCTTCAGCAATCAGCAAGCATTCAGTGCCACTCACCTCGAGCAGTTCTCAGTTGGCTCAGATGGATGATCCGCTCTAATCTTTCCCCTACTCTTTCCTAAAAATGTTTTTGAGCTTCTGCCAATCTTTGGTTTTTCCTCAGAGCTAGAGATACCTTCTTCTTTTGTGCAGATGGTGCTGGGAAACACATTTAAACAACGTTCTTTAGCTCAACAATTGATATATATTTTTTGCCACAATCATTCACTTTTAAAATAGGAGGGTGATCTTAAAATCATAAAAGTATTTTAATAGATGCCAATGAGAGTTTTTTGGTCTGTCACAATTTCCTTTAATGGCAGGGAACAACATAAATTCAGACAAAATCATCTTCCTTTTATGTAAATATAGTTTAGCCTTCTAGGTGCAGCTGAACTATAACTTCCAGCTTCCATCACTATTGACAAACAAGCTCGATATTTCAGTCACACCTGGAGAACCAGCAGTTCTCTTTGTCTGGCATATTGAATGTCAAACTGGGGACTTGGGGAAAGAAATTATGGAGTCAAAGGCCATTTTTTTTTTCTAAAAGCCAAAAAGCAAGCATTTATTTATTTGATTTTTTATTTTGACATTTGTAACATGCTTAATCCACTATGATTCTGAGAAGCATATAATATCCATCATTTAATATAAAACCATTCAAACCATACAAAAAGTTTGGCAAAAGCAAAGATCATCTCACAAACATGATTTTATTTATTTTTTATTTTATGTATTTGTCAAGCACGTATTTTATGACAGATACAAGTGTAAACATAATTATAAATACATGAAAAGGATACAAATAAAAGAAAGCATTTTTTAACTTTTAAAAGCATTTTTTTCTACAACCTTAAGAGGTTGCAGAAAAAAATGCTTTTAGAAGCCTCTGACAATCAAGCAACTCAGCTGGGATCGTCAGAGGCTTTTAAAAGCATTTTTTTTCTACAACCTCTTCGGCCGAAGAGGTTGCAGAAATAAATGCTTTTAGAAGCCTCCTACAATCCCAACTGAGCCGCACGATCATCAGAGGCTTTTTTTTTTTTTTTTTTACTTTTAAAAGCATTTTTTTCCCCGAAGAGGTTGTAGAAAAAATGCTTTTAAAAGTTAAAAAAAACAACCTCTGATGATCGCGCAGCTCAGCTGGGCATGGGGGGGGGCACAGAAATTTTTGCTACCGGTTCTCCGAACCACCCACCGCCATCACTACCGGATCAGGCGATCCGGTCCAAACCGGGAGCATTTCACCCCTGCTCCAAGGTCTTTGACAGAGACCTTGATAGACCACAAGAGGTCTACTCTTACTCTACCCAAAGCCTAGGAAAAGAATCAGATCTTAAGAAGGGATATATAAATATCAGAGGGGATTTCATTCCAGAAGGCAGTCACACACAATAGTCAGAGGCTTCTGGAGAGGTTAGAAGTCCCTGCAAGTATCTCTGCAAGCAGACTGCACTACAATGGAATTACCAGCCAGGAGCCAGGTTTTAGCTGATGAAAATCTCTCTGAATATAAGGAGGGTGTCCTTGGGCCAGTGGAGGAGGAAAGCTGGCTGTAAATGGCCTGAGGTGGGAGGTTGGAGGCAAAGGAGGCACGGCCAAGGGTAGGAGGTGAAGGTCCCATTTTGAGATCCTTTGGGATTGTCCATTTATGTTCTGGAAGAGTTTCTTATTGTAAATCTTGAGTTGAGGGGCTCAGGAGGCGAGGGATTTTCAACATGCCTTTAACTTAACACACCCTTAATGGACATTTGACTGGCAAAAGCCTCACTTTTTAAAACACATTTTGGACTTAATTACTTTACAACCTAAGAGGGAAACACAGAAAAGCAGCAAAGATTAAAGATTCTCAGTGAGGGTCTTCTTTATGAAATTAAGAGGAAGGGGGCGGGGAACAACTATTTTAAAGGATTTTAATTTAAAAGCAAAAGTTCATCAATAGTGTGATCCAAGAAAGTTTTAAATGAATAAATGGCATAGTAATTAAAGAAGAAATTTGTTTTCTGATGCAAGTGCCTTTGAAAGTAACAAAATTAATTAGACTAACAGATCAGAATGCTGATTGTTTATTTTTAAAGATAGTAGATAAATGACGGATTTTACAAAACAGGGAAATAAGGGCAATATAAACTGTGAGACTAACTATGGAGAGCTAATTAGAGCCAAAGTGCTAAAGACAGAGAAAAACAGAAGAGAAAAATAAAGGAGAAACTTACCTTTTACATTCACCAAAGAAGCGATAGCACTTAGACTTATATGCCGCTTCATAGTGCTTTATAGCTCTTTCTAAGCAGAGTGTGCATATTGCCCCCCAACAATCTGTGTCCTCATTTTACCAACCTCAGAAGGATGGAAGGCTGAATCCAGAAGGATGGAATCTTGAGCCGGTGAGGATCGAACTCCTGAGAGTGGGCAGTCAGCCTGAAATATTGCATTCTAACCACTGCAACACCATGGTTCTTAGTAATTGACATACAGGTGGTTCTCAATTGGATACCTATCATGCACTTTCTCCAATCCCCATAGTATTTTCCCACACATCCTCCCTGATCCACGCAGTACCTCTTGCATACACTTGTGCACCCTTCTTGACTGTGCACTACCTCTCACACACCTTCATGTACTCTCCTTTTTCCTCCTCAACCCTACCCTGTAATCTCCATGGCAATTATTGCAACAAGATATGCTCTGAAATGAGAAGATTCAACACTACCCATTATGGCTGGTGAAATGGATAGATCTTGTTGAGATGGATAAATTAACTGTTATTAAAGAAAAAGACACTATCAACATTTATTGATGACTGGAAATCTCTCATGGACTTTTTGCATAAAAATGGGGAAAAAATGAGCTTCTGATTTATGGCTTTGATTAGACAGGATAGATTATAGAAAGAAGAGTAACTGATGTAATTTTAGACAGAAGGGTTAACATGTCATTATAACTGCTGTGAATATCGGAAGCCACTGCTTTAGATCTTTTTTTTTCTTTTCTATTTTTCTTTTTCTTTATTTATTTTTGCACATTTTTCTTTCTCTTTGCTTTCTTTTTCTTTTTTCTGCCTTACGCTATATTAGTTGTATTAGCATCTTCTTTTTAAATCTCTTTTTAAAATCATATTTAAAAAGAACAAACACTCAACGGTCAGGAGTACCCATCCACTCCCACACATGCATTCCCAACCACCACTAACTGCTTCCTTCCAATTTGCCCTAACCTCCCAAGGCACAATGGGAGGACAGATTGCGGATCAACAGTGGGATCAATTTACCCCAGATTTTTGCAAGAAATGGGGGCTAGCTGGAAAATTGAAAATTGGAGGATAGACAGGGCATAATGTGTGGAGGATAAAAAGCAGGACTTGAGTTAGGAACACCCAGTCCCTTAGACCACTCCTGTTCCTGTTACCCTAGCTCTATCCAATTGTGTCTTAAATTGTTGCTCATGAAATTCAGTTCTGAGGAAAACAGTACAATGCTGCCACACCATTGTCATACCACACTTCCCGGGCCCCAAAAATTTCTCTTGGGAAGAAGACTGCAGTCCCATCACCTCACAGATGCTGACAATTATGTAGACAGCAAACTTCTGCATTTCCTGCATCAGATGAGGAGAGTGTATCTTTCTCCTTCTGTCCTGGCCACTTTTTACAGAGGCACAATTGAGAGCGTTTTAACAAACTGCATCATTGTTTGGTTTGGTGGCAGTAGAGCCTCAGATAGAAAGTCCATAAACAGAGTGGTAAGGACAGCCGAGAAGATTATAGGAAGCTCACTTCCTGTTATTTAGGACGCTGCTTATAAGTATTATGTGCTTAAAGCTCAAAGCATTGTCAGAGATCTCACACAGCCACTTTATGGTCTGTTTCTGTTGCTCCCCTCTGGGAGGAGGTTTCGAAGTATTTCTAGCTGGACTAACAGATTCTGTAACAGCTTTGTTCCCTATGCCATCCATCTGCTAAACTTGCAAGATTCGTTTTTCTCGCCATGTTCATGTATACATCCGAACTAGACTGTGTTGTTTCTCTGTGTCATATAATATATATAGGTATATGCATAATTTTGTATTTATCTGTTTATTTATTTTGTCATGTTTATGTCATGTATATTGGAGGTGGTGACCCTTTGAGAGCTGTATGCAATGAAATTTCATTCTAATGTATGCCAATTAGTGTAACTTCAAAGTGACAATAAAGTTATTCTAAGTCTAACTTTTGCTCCATTTCAGAGACTACTTGAAGAATCAACGGGGCCAATTACATTTGAGTGAAGCAGCTGGTAAAACCACTTCCCAAACCTGTGCTAATCACTCTAAGACTTTACTTCATTAGCCTCTGTCTTTGCCTCTGCCTTGGCTTCCCAACTTTCAGCCACCATTCACTTGTTGCTGCCACTGCCACTAGAACTCCCTCTGAAAGTGGGAGAAACAAGGAGCAGTGGGAACGTTTTTGGTGGACAACCCAAACCATGATCACATCTCCATTCCAAAAACTCACACAACTCAAAACAGTTCACCCACACAACTCCACTCAGTTCCAGATTTCTGCAAACACAGCCCTTCCACTTGCCATTTTGACATGAAGTGTGGTGGAGAATACTTTTAGCATGAGGCATCCTTATCTTAATATATTCAGATATTTGCCTGACCTACAGCATCCTGGGAATTGTGTTCAACACAGGAAGATGGTGGACAATACAGTACACTCATCCCACCTTCAGAGAGAAAACCTAAATCCAAGGACATATAAGAGAGGCTGCCTCCATTATAATAACTATTGTCATTTTCTCTATGGTACTATAACTGAGCCACCTTTCAGAGGCCACGCAGAGCAAACAAGCAGAGTTAGCATTGTGGGGGGGGGAGCAAGAACAGCTGTGCTACTACCTTGTCTGATTCTTCAATGAGAGGTCAATTTCATGATAGTTTAATCAATAGATTAATCAGCTAAAGATGTAAATAATGAATTGAGGGCCAGCTTGAATGAGCTGTAAATTAAAAGTATCCATATTAGCTTTTTCAGAGGTAATTTGGATCACCCCCTATGTGACTAACATAGGGAATGAAAAAATATATCAAAGATGGCCTCGCCTTTTAATATTGAGCAGTAGCTTTTGTTTATTAAGTTATCTCAAACTTTCTTCAGTATCTCAGAAAAA